CGCTTGAGGACCTCAACGTCCTCCGCGTCCTCTACCTCGTCTTCGGCCGCACCATGAACGGCCACCGCGTCCCCGGCTCGGACAAGAAGGACGGCATCGAGCTCAACATGGAGACGCTGATGTACGTGCTCCCGCTCCGCCCCGCGATCGCAAAATAGTCCTTAATCCAACTTGTTGTGTGTATAGGTACATCTTCGGCGCTGTCTTCAAGCACCACGCCCTCTCCGACTGCCTCGACCAGACCAAGGTCTGGCACGCAATCCTGGGCGCGCTGCGCGCCCGCTGGGGCGTCGGCACGCGCTGAGCGCCGCCCCCCCCCCAAGTCCCCTCACTCACCGCGCGCCGCTGACCGTAGCGGCGCGGCGACCACTCCCACACCACTCCGCCTCGCACCGTGTCCCGTCACTCTTCACTGAAGGGCACCGTGTCCCGTCTTCACTGTCGCACACGCGGGGACCGCGCCTTTTTGGTTTCTTTGTTTGGCCTTTCAAGAAGAAATGCCATGGAGCGCCGTGTTTCTTCTTCCAGTCTCTCGATGCCCGTCGTCGAGCCTCCCCTCGCGGTTGCGCTCCGCGTCGGCGGCCGCGTCGTGCTCGGCTTCCACGTCCACAAGTACGACGGCCTCACCTTTGGCGCGGCCGAGCTGGTCCTCGGCCCGGCCTCCTCCGCAGTCCACCTCGGCGTCAAGCGACCGCTGCCGGAGCTCTTCCAAACCGTCTGCAAGAGCGTCTTTGGCGAGGTCGCTCCACTCGATGCCTCGCTCGAGGTGGGCTTCCGCTCGGCCCTCCCGGACGAGTTGCTCGGAGGCCAGCGCGCCGACGGCAGTGACATCGCGACCACCTATCCTAACCGAGGGAGGGAGTGCACCGCGCCCTTCTCGCCGAGGCTCGGGACGCGCGAGGTCGAGTGCGCAGGGCTGGAGGGGTGGCGGGACGAGGAGCCGCTGGTGTGGTACTTGCTCAGCCTGCTTCGGCCGTGGTTCGAGTCGGCGCTCTCGCCTGCCGAGAGCGAGCGGCGCATCAACAGCTACCGCGGGAGCATGAGCCACAACCAGCGCCACGCGCAAAGCCGGCTGCTGCACAAGCACAAGCACAAGCAGCAGGACTCGACCAGCGCGATCGGCCTCCAGCACTCTGGCCACAACCGCCCCGCATGGCAGGCGTGGGCGCTGCTCGGCTACCGGCTGCAGCCCGGCGGCGGCGCCATCAGCCGCCGGGGAGACTGCACTCCCAAGGAGGGCCTCGCGGCGGTGGCAGCGCGGGAGCGGCTGCCGTGGCCGGTCGAGTCGTGGCCGTCCGAGGAGGTGATGGACTGCTTCTTGTCGCCGGTCGACGCGGGGACAACGGCCGCGCTTGCCCGGAGCGCGGCTGCCAGGGCTGACGCCACCGCCTCGTCCAAGTCTTCTCGCACGATGAAGCCGCGCGCCGGCGAGGTGGCGTGGCTGCTCTCGGCGGCGGAGCCGCGCCTCGTGCTCGTGCTCGGCCATGCCTGCTGGGGAGGCGGGACCGAGAAGGGCGGGCTAGCCCTCAAGCGGCTGCCGAGCACCGGGGAAGCCGCCGACCGCGGCTTGCCTCCGCTCTCGGCGCCCGAGCAGCTGCAGCCCGACCTGACGGTGCCCGTCACCCACGTGATGCCGTTCGCCAAGCTGCTCGACATGGAGTGGTGCCGGCCGCGCGGATCTCGCCCGATCGCCACGCGGCTGACCGGCGGGGACGACGCCGACGCCGAGCTGAGGGGGTCGCTCAAGGACGCCATCCGCGCCTACCTCTCGGGCGAGGCTGAGCAGGACCAGCTCGGCATGGGGGCGTGGCTGGCGGACGGCATCAGCATCAAGCCCGAGGAGTACGAGACGGGCGGCGAGTGGACGCACCTGCGGGCGCTCGCGGGGATCGACGTCCTCGTGTCGAGGCGGTACGCGGTGTGGCGCGGGGAGACGCTCCATTTCCCGGGCGAGGTCGTCTCTGCCATCCTCAAGGAGGAGCCTCTCCCGTGGGAGGCGGAGGCGGGCGGGCCCGGCCACGAGGGAGAGAGGGAGGAGGGGGAGGGGGCGGATGCGGGCTCGCCGATCCGCGACCGACGGGCCGAGGCGCGGGCGGACCGCCTCCGCGACGAAGAGGTGGCGGCCTTCGAGGCGGAGGCGAGGAGGGAGCAGGCGGCGGCGGGTGAGCGCGGCGCGGCAGAGGTAGCGGGCCGCATCCCGGCGGGCGTGGTGATGCACGGCGCCTCTGCGCCCGGCGCGAGCAGCTCGAGCGCCACCGGCTCGACTCTGCCGACGGCGCCTCTCGGCGGCGGCAGCAACCCGCCAGGCCCCGGCTCCAAGCGCAAGTTGGAGACCGGCAGCGGCGAGGAGTCAGAAGCGGCGCGCCTTTGCCGTGCCGATCTTAGGGCGGCCGAGGCTGGGCTGGCGAGGGAGGTGGTGGTGCCCTTGGGACACCGCGCCGCCGTTGTGGAGGGCCTTCGCCGCGTGCTGTCGGGCTCAAAGCCGCCGCCTGATCCGGAGGCATATTGGGCCTCCAAGGGCCCCGGAGGGCGCTTCCCCTTTCCGGAGCACCTGTCGGCCATGCGGGCGGAGCTGGCTGCGGAGGAGGCGACGAAGAGGGGCCATGCATGAGAGTAATTGAACTCTTTTTTTAGAGTTTGTGTGCTATTCGTGCAGGCCCCAAAGACCGACGTCGATGGCGCGTCTCGTGCCCTCCGCCAAGGGGTAGGGCCCGGTACTACCGGGTAGCGAACTGGTGTAATTAGCGTATGCACACACACACACACACCCAACAGTCACACACACCCGACACACGGGCGTGAACTGTGATGATTGCGGCTCGTCGCACAGTCGGAGGAGCCTCGTGCGAACCGTCTCAGCGCCGCTGGCGAGCGGGCGCCGGCTGCAGCACGACGGAGGCGCGAGCCGAGCCACTGCGTCCGACCCGGAGAGGCGTCCTTGAAGTGACTTTCCGAGCCGCGTGGCACGTTGTGGCTCGCGCTCTCGTTCACCACGTCCAAAACGTCTGGCTTGAAGGCGGCCTCGAGCTTGGCAGTGATCGAGGCCGCGACGGGGCCGGCGGGGTTAGCCGCGACGAGGTCTAGCGGTGTCGTAACGCTTGTGGTGGCCGTGTCGACGAGCGTGCACACCTGTGGTGTCGTGCAAATTCTTTTTTCCTTTCGAAAAAACGAACGGCCCGCCTCTCCGCTGCAGGCCGCGCCTCTTCCCGACGCACGTTCGACGGCTGTGCGCTTACCGACTCTGCTTACCGACTCTGCTCACACCTGGAATGAACGTCAACTTCTCCTCCACCTCTCTCTTCACCATCTACTCGGAGCTTGACCACGACGAGCAGGACGCGCGCCGCGCCTGGCTGCAGGACGTGGGCCGTGTTGTAAAGACGTCGGGCCCGCTGCTCCTCGCCATCAGCGGCTCGGCGCTTCTGCCGCTGCCGTGCGCCTTTGGGCAGGCGGGCATTCCGGGCGCCAGCGTACTCCTCGTCCTCACCGCCGCCGCCAACGACTACACGACGATCCTCATGGTCCGCGCGGCGTCGCGGCTCGGCGTCTCGTCTTACGAGGAGGCCGTCCTCGGGTCTGCCGGGAGGGCGGGACTGGTCGTGGCGCGCGTCTCGTTGGTGGTGCTCCTCTTCGGCACGCTGTGCGGCAATCTCTCCGCAATCTCAGAGACGGCCGAGCGCGCGCTCGTCCTCGCTGGCTGGACGCGGCTCGCGGCGCGACACGACGTCCTGCTCGCTGGAGCGACTGTGGTTGTGATGCCGCTCTCTCTGCTGCAGCTGGGCGAGATGGGGGGCATCTCCCTCTTCGGTCTCGCGATGATGGTTGCGCTGCTCGGCTACCTCGCGCACGCCTGCCTGCACTCGCACGCGGCGCTCCGGCCCTACATGCTCTCGCCGCAGCCCGCCGCGCTGCCGACCGCCGCCTCGACGTTCGGGTACGCGCTCTACGTGCAGCCCTGTGTGCCGCCGCTGCTGCGCTCGCTGCCGCCGGGCGAGCAGGGCCGCAAGACGCTCGAGCGCGCCGCGCACCTCACCTTTGGCGTGAGCGCGCTCTTCTACCTCCTCGTCGGCTGCAGCGGACTCCTCCTCTTCGACACGAAGACACCGCAAAACGCGCTGCAGGGCTTTGCTCACGCGAGTGCGGCGTCGCCGCGCACGGCGTCCGGCCTTCACTGCCCACGGGCATCTCGGCTAGGCTTCTCCGGCGAGTCGGGCGCCCTCCTCTCCGGCTGCTTCTCCCTCTACCTCGCGCTCTGCTTCGCTCCCATCGCGGCGCCGCTGCGCGAGACGCTGGTGCGGCTCGCCAAGGGATCGACGGCGGCGAGCATCCACACGAGCGAGCTTCCTAGACACTTCCTAGACACTTCCTAGACACTTCCTAGCATCCACACGAGCGAGCTCTGCTCCCGCGAGCCCGCTGTCGAGCCGTCTCCGTCGGTTGGTGGAGCTGTGGCCTGCTTTACGTAGGCGAGCTCTACCGCGAGTCCCTCGCGGGATCGCCGCCGCTCGTGCTCAACATGCACACGGCGCCGGCCGAGCTGCCGCCGCTCTCCAACGCCCTCGTCACCGCCTTCATCGTCGGCGCGGCGCACGCGGTCGCGCGGCTCCTGCCCAACGCCTCCGCCTCCATCTTCGCCTTCACCGGCGCGACTGGCGTCGCGATGGTCGCTTGCCCTACATGCCGCACGCATACCTCCGTGCTCACCCGCAGCTCACCCACCGCAAGTCGCGCACACACCTGCACTCGCCCGTGTTCGTGCCGTACGCGCTGCTGTGCCGCTGTACCCGCAGACCTCGTGCTCACCCCGAGGCGCCGCAGGGAGAGCACGGGCCGGTATTCCCACCCCTCCGCCGCCCAAACTCACACCGCGGCTTCCGGCGCGGACAGGCGCATTCGCACACTTCTTGTTCTATTGCACTCTAGGTGGCCTATGTGCTCCCCGCGTGGACGCACATGGCGGGCCCCCGCCGCAACCCGCGCCGCGCGCCCGCCACCGGCTCGAATCTGCGCGCGTCGCGGCTGGAAGGGCGAACCTCTGACTCAGGCGGGCCGGCCGCTCGGCGCAGGAGGCGGCGGCCGCAGATACTGCTGGCGCTGGTTGTGTGGTTGGGCCTCTTTGTCTCCGGGCTCACGCTGAGCGAGGTGGTGCGGCAGTGGATGGGCGCAAAGCCTCCGCAATGCGTCG